GGGGGGAGGGGTCCGCGGGCCCCTGGGGCTCCCGGTCCTGTGGTTCCCGAGCCTCAGACGCCCCTCGGTCCTCCTTAGACCGGTCGTTGGTCAGTGGCTGTGATTTGGGGGAGCTGTTTGGGGGTCTTGGTCCGCTTCCCTGGTTAAAGGATGGTGGTCAGTGTGAATTTAAGGTGCTGGGTCGGAGGCATCGATTCGTGCTCTTCCTGCCAGAAATGTCTTTTGAGGCAGAAGACAGGACTCGAGAAAAAAAAAAAAAAGATGTTTTTCCTTAAAGTATTGAGTCTCTGACCGTTTCCCATGGCACCGCACACCTGCAAGTGAGGCACATTTAGGAAGAGTCTGCAACGCGGCAGTGCGCGCTTAGGACAATTTCCTGCATCGTTACGGCCTGTGATAGCAATGCGAAATGGAATGAGTTATGAGCCGCAGAAAATGCCGGTTAATAGGAATGGCTATATCAGCACACAAATTCCCACTGTAAAGTACTAATGTGTTCAGTAGTTTCCAAGGACTCGCATAAACATCCGACCATCTGTTCCCTACAGCCATCTTGTGTGGGACGGGGAGCAAGTAGTAATAATTTTTTTATTTTACTGTTAAGGGAAACGGCCTCAAATGATTGCCCAGCGCATTCTTCATCTCAGTAAACTTCAGTGCATGCCAAGCGTATTGGCAGGTCTGCACCGGGCACTGCATTGTCATTTAATTAACATTTAAACCAGCGGAGTCCCACGTAAGTGCTCTTTCACCCCATCTTGGTAGGAAGAAAGATAATATTTCTGAAAAAAACATGTTGCTTCATGTGCTTTATTAGGCAAAAGAGCCAAAAAACTCAGGACTGTGCCTTAAGAAGACGCATCTATTCCTAAATGGTAAATCACAATCTATTAGAACTCTGGTTAAAATCGATCCATCGATTCTAAATGGTAAATCACACTCAATCTATTAGAACTCTGGTTAAAATCGATCCATCGATATATAGAGTGCCTGTCAAGGGGAGAGTACTATATTCGTAAGTAAGAAAGATGGATGGCAGACAAAAACAAACTCCTGTCCTCAGAGGGTTATGATGAGTTCCTCTGGTGGTCATAGATACGGGCATTGGATTCAGTACAGTCAACATCCAATCCCAGCATCCTATCTATGACAGTTTTCTATTAGATTCTAAATTTGTTTTCTTTAAAAAGAGGGTAAAAATTCCATTATCGTAACTTTAAAATAAAACATGACTTTATTTTAGTATTTCAATTAAATCACTGGACAGAGACAATACATAAAACCAAAGAGGGATTAAAAAAGAGTCGTACTTAATAAAGGGGTGAAGGAAGATCACCCCCAATAACTTGTAAATTAAACTACACCAAGTTTAAACTATCCAAACCATGCATAATTACCAGGATTATCTATCCAGGCGATTTTAACCTATACTTCTGATAGAGGAAGATGAGGGTACAGTGTCTGGTTGGACTTCACTAAAACATAACTATAAATAACAAAGGTGAAAAAAAAAATGGTCTGCTTAGAGCAGCCGTGGGCAAACTACGGCCCAACCAAGGTACATGCCCCTAACCAGAATCGAACCCGGGACTCTTCAGTCCCCAGGCCGACGCTCTATCCAGTGAGCCAAACCAGCGAGGGCTATCCAGGCGATTTTAACATATACTTCTGATAGAGGAAGATGAGGGTACAGTGTCTGGTTGGACTTCACTAAAACATAACTATAAATAACAAAGGTGAAAAAAAAAATGGTCTGCTTAGAGCAGCCATGGGCAAACTACGGCCCGCGGGCCGAAATATATATATAAAACTAAAAAAAAAAAAGACCGTATCCTTTTATGTAATGATGTTTACTTTGAATTTATATTAGTTCACACAAACACTCCATCCATGCTTTTGTTCCGGCCCTCCGGGCCAGTTTAAGAACCCATCGTGGCCCTCGAGTCAAAAAGTTTGCCCACCCCTGAACTAGAAGGAAGAATAGATAATCTCTAACTGTGTCATAATATGAAACATACTGAAGGGCACAGAATGAATCCCACAGCCTGTAATTTCTGGTTCTTTCTGCACAAAGTAAGCAAGTAAATTTACTTTAATTTTTTTATAAGAAATTGTTCTTTCTCTGTATCTTTGTTTACATGGTACTAAGGTATTTGCTAAAGGTTGAGGATTTTTAAGGATGAACCTACTGCAGATTATAAGAACTTTTGTGGAAAATGCCCATAGGTGGGGGAAAAACCATAACTGAGCCAATATTTTAATACAGTTTTTATTAAGAGAAATGGTTTCTAAGATAATAAACTAGTGCTCAAATCTTTATCTCAGAGGATTCTTCTTGAAAATGTGAGTGTGAATAGAGAGGCAAGAGAGGGACCCTTGATGTTATAGGGATACAATGTGGACCCACAGAGCAGTCATTTGTTTTGAATTTCCATCATTCATTAACCCTTCAAATGCCAGCTAGGCCACATCATAACCATTTAGCTTAGGTAAGTAATTTAACCTCTCTGGGCCTCAATAGAGCTCAAATCTATAAAAGCAAAACATACAAAAAAAAACCCTGCTTATTACAAAATTTGTAATCCTAGATAAATCATTGTTAGCCTGGTTAAATTGGTGAACACCTATGCTTAGGTAATTTCTAATCTACACTTGTTTGGGTTAGAAACTAACAATAACAACAACAACACCAAAAACAAACAAACAAACAAACCAAAAAAACTAATATTCAAGCTTCTTGCCTGAGGTATTCTTGGACATTCATTAGATCTGGGAGAACCTCTGTTCCTTGACCACCCCTCTGCCACTACATTTATCACATTGTTTTTAAATAGTCTGCTTATGAAATCACTTGTAAGCTCTAAAATAGAGCTGATGTTCTATTTATCTGTATTCCTATTACCGATCATAAAGCCTGGCACATTGGAAGGGTTTTGTTTTGTTTTGTTTTGTTTTGTTTTTTAACCCGAGGGAGAAGTCCAGTCAGGCTTATTTACTGACCACACAAGGATGGGGCTTAATCGGGAGATAACAACCTGAAGTTCACCCGGGCACCTAGAGCTGTGTTCAAGTCCAGACCGCCTGGCAGCCTGCTGCCCTGTACTCCTGCTAAACCCCACAGACTACTGGAGGGAGTATTTCCTAACATACTGGCTGGGTGCTCATTTTCAGTGATGTGCTTGGAGGTAGTAGACTTCTGGTACCCAGAGTTGGGCAAGAAGGGACAAGCAAGGACTGCTGGATATAAGGAGTTTCTGGACCCCCGAAGCTGAGGACACGTACTGTGGTGATACCATTAACGTTCTGTCAGCCTTTAGGGGCTACCGGACAGCCTCCCTCTTCGACTAGCAGTATGATAGCGTCTGATAGAGGTAGTTAAGATTACAAATAAAAGAAGATGTAATATTTGTCTATTCCCTATGGCTTTTTGATTCACTGCTCTCATTTTTCTCATTTCTTTTTGGTCTTAAAAAATGTGCTGTCTGTGTTTATCCTGTCATCCCACACACACACCCAGATCGGGGACGGGGCCAGCCAGCTGACCTCCTGCAGCCCCCACCCTGGCTGGCTCGGCCCTTATCCGGGATGGCCAGACCCCACCCATGCATGAATTCGTGCACAAGGCCTCTAGTGTCTTTATATGTGCAGCATTTCACTGTCGGTGCCTAAGAATGTTTAATGACATCAACACCATTCATTTAACTTGTTTTAGCAAATAAAAGGTAGAATTCTCTAGAGAACTTGTTTATTTGAACTTCACTAGATATTTATAAATAATTTTCAGGCTATATTCAGAATATAGCCAGACTGTAGTGTTTAATGTAATGTATAACGAAGTTGACTGGGCTTATGAGATCTTAGGTGTTATTGAGATATTTGAGGTGAATAGTAAGAGAATATAGCGGTCTCCTCCCAACTGAAAGGATACACTTTATGTAGATCCTTAACATAGAAAAATATTAGATAATGTTCATGATTCAAACTATACAGTACTTGAGAAGAATAGCTATTTGCTTCATTAGATTTGTGGGTTGGTGAGGAACACAACACCTATACAAACTTGTAAATTGTCATGCCATGATCAGAAGGATTTCCTATAATAAGGGTCCCCTTCAGATGTTATGTTTTCTCCCATACGTATTACATATTTTCCTCCTACCAACCAAGAACAAAGAAAGGAATTTATAAAAGAGTTTTAGATCGGTTCTGACATTGTATGTCAGATGATGTAACATAACAGTTCTGAGAAAATGACTGCCAAGTAAGATCTTGAAACAGAGACCTACTTAGGATCGTAAACACAGAAACAATATTGGAAGAAAAGGGTAATTAAAGGCTTTGTCGTAAAAGAGAGTAAAAAACTTAGAGAAATCTTAGAACACTTAGGTTTCTTACAAAGTGCTCTTCTTTTTTTTAATTTTTTAAAATTGATTTTAAAGAGGAGAGAGAAAGAAACATGGATTTGTTGTTCCACTTATTTATGCATTCATTGGTTGCTTCTTGTATGTGCCCTGACCAGGATCAAACCCGCAACCTTGGCGTATTGGGACATCACTCCAACCAACTCAACTACCCTGCCAGGGCATAAAGTGCTCTTCCAATGTCATAGCCATCTGTGTATATTTGTTAGAATAACAATAGGGTATATTGTAGGTATATAAGGATACTATAACAGGCATACCACTACTTACCTAATAGAATTATTGTGAGACCCGAATAGGAAACTATATGTAAACTTACATTACATCATGTACAGTGTGCTACCATTTATTTGGTAACTCATTTCTGTAGATATAACTGCACATCGACTTGGCAAATACTAAATTCAAATTCATGGCAGAAGTATTAAACGAAAACTACACAGACAGCCATTAAAAAAAAAATACAACTGTTACTGCCCTAAACTAACTTGGGGCACAGAAAAATACAATGGCTACATTGAGAGAATGTAAATATTAGATAAATAACAAAAAAAGAAAAACCGAATTTAAAATATTTTTATTGATCTTTTAGAGAGAGAAGGAGAGACATAGATTTGCCGCCTCCTACATTCTCCCTACCGGGGATGAAACCTGCAACTCAGACATGTGCTCTGACCTGGAACAGAACTGGCAACCTTTTGGTGCACGGGACAACATTCAACCAACGGAGCCACACTGGCCAGGGCAGAAAAACCTAATTTAAATCAATTGCCTTTCTAGGGTGTGAAAAATGTAGGAGGGGTCAGTGTGAGAACTTGGAAATGGATTATACCCTAGGACAGTGGTTCTCAACCTTCCTAATGCCGCAACCCTTTAATACAGTTCCTCATGTTGTGGTGACCCCCAACCATAAAATTATTTTCGTTGCTACTTCATAACTGTAATGTTGCTACTGTTATGAATCATAATGTAAATATCTGATATGCAGGATGTATTTTCATTGTTACAAACTGAACATAATTAAAGCATAGTGATTAATCATAAAAACAATATGTAATTATATATGTGTTTTCCGATGGTCTTAGGCGACCCCTGTGAAAGGGTCGTTCGATCCCCAAAGGGGTCGTGACCCACAGGTTGAGAACCGCTGCTCTAGGACCATAGCTCCTAAGGCACAAATAACCTAAGTACATAACTATAAAGAATAACAATACATTTAAGGTAAATAACAAATTTTATAAGCTGTTCAATTCACTTCTATGTGTGTGTTTTTGTTTGTTTTTACATTTTAGTAAATGGGTTGCTAGAGATTTATAAATACCTTGCAAATAAATTTTAAGTTACTTCTCTCTAGGATATACCTTACATAATATACCTTAGGCTAAATCAGAGTTGTCTGGTTTCATGAGGTATTTAAGTTTAACATTAAGAGGCCTATCTAATGTGAAAAATGAGGGAATATTGCAACTCCCAACCAAAGGGGTATACTTTCCGGAGACCTCTATAATGATAAAATGTTACATGAAGTACAGTCTAATGGGGTGACAGACATGATTACCAAAAATTACACACAACGTAAGTGGTATAGAGGAGGGTGAGCACAAAGTGCTCTGGGTACAAAGGGCAGGTGTATTGAACTCACCTTTGGGGGTTTGGGCCTGGGGGCATGAGAGGAGCAATCAGGCTGAGTTTCCAATTTAATAACAGCCACCATTTAGCAAGCCGCTCCAGAGAAGGTCAGCACACAGCTGGGCCCCAGGTGCAGACCCCTAGCAATGCACTCAGTGATGCGCCCCCTCCTCTGGGGTAGGCCCCATGGAGCACTGCAGCAGCTCTCGTGAGGCGTACGTGACCTACCTGTTAGATTAAATGAGGGAAATCAGTTCTGGTTCAGCAAGAAACTGTGTTTATGCTAAATGGTGGATAACTGTCCTCACAGTGCACGTTGAGGGATTGTAGTGACAAAATTACATGTTTAAGTACCTGTCCAGTGTGTCTCTGACTTGGGAAATCTAGAGTTATATAGTATAGAGTTTTTTAAATTTATCTTTATTGTTGAAAGTATTGCAGATGTCCCCTGCCTCCCCCCATTGGCCCCTTCCATCTCTCCACCCCTACCCCAGGCCTTCACCTCACTATTGTCTGTGTCCATGGGTTTTGCATATTCATGTAAATTCTTTGGTTAATCTCTTCCCACTCTCCCCCACTTAGTCTAGATTTTTTTTTAATTTTTATTTATTGATTTTAGAGAGAGAAAAGGAGAGAGAGAGAAACGTTGACTTTTGTTTCACTTGTCCATGCATTCATTGGTTGTTTCTTGTATGTGCCCTGACGAGATTGAACCCCCAACCTTGGCTTATGGGGATGACGCTCCAACCAGCTGAGCTACCAGGGCCATTGTCTAGATTTTTTTTTTTAAATCTATTAGAATTACTTACCGTTTACCCAGTAATACCATTTTCTTTTCACTAATAATTTTGGACCTTTGTCCATTTTTTTCCATATAAAAATCTATTTTTAAAGAATAATGTGAAGATAGCCTATTTGCCATTTAACTATTGATGAGTAATTTGCATTTGAAAAACAAAATCCTGATTTCTCAAAAGGTAAAAGTGAGGAGCTGAAAGAACACTACATCCAAAAATCAGAAGGGCCAGTTTCTCTGCTGATGCCTCACATGGACGAAGACAGGAGGAGTGAACCATATGCTTGTAAGTATTAGATAAGCCTGCAAAATGAAGATTTATTACGAGTAGCAAATTCATTGACTGGACAGCCTTAGCGAGATGCATTCTAAGAGAAAAAAAAAGCAATTTTACTATTAGTATTAATATTTGTAGTAATATTTTATGCTTTTATTATTAGATCAAAGAAATGTGTATGCTAACTTTGTTAAGAATTAAACATTTTTATTTAGTGTGATAATTGAGTGTTTCACTGAGTTATAAAAAAGGAAAATATAATTTAGATGAAGAATTAAAAAATTGTAGAATCATACTGTAATGTAAGAACTAAGTTGGAAATAATAATATAAACTAATATCATTTAATAAAATATGTCTTTTCTAGCTCTGTTCAATGAAATGGCCAAGGAACAATATTACTCCATGAACCTGATTATATGCACTCCTAATGTCTAAATTATGGAGCCAAATACTATTTTTCACTTAAAGGAAACAATATACCTTAGAAAAATGGTTGATTCACATCTGGGTCTGGGAAGGTACAGGTGAATCTTAGAATATTTCACTGAGACAGAAAGCAATAATATTTTCCAAAAGTAATGGTGTTGCATGGAAGAACATAGAAGCCAGTTTAAGGGGAAACCCATTGGCTAAATTCTGTCAATTTGAGTATCAAAAGGAAAATAATGACTATGGTTAGTTGAAATGTATTAATATGTAAAAAGCTGAGTTCATAATGATAGCCAAAATGAAAAAGTTGGTGAATTGTACTAAAGAAGTCGAATATAATTGAACCTCATTACTTATACTTAATGAGAAGCTGAAAGTAGTAGTTGACTCATATTATCATGTTAGTACTATTTGACTCACTGAATTGGTACAGAATATCAAATTCAGGAAATATCAAATATGTTAGTTTTACTTAATTTAAGTTTACATTGAGAAGAATAATTGTTAACTCTTAATACATAACTGCCAGGGTCTATACTAGTGCAAACTTTTTTTTTTTATTTTTAGTGACAAAATCTAGTTTTGGAATATTTGAATTTTTGTACTCCTGAGTCTCTATGTATTGATCAGCTAAATTTTGTTGTTGTTGTTAATCCTCACTGAGGATATTGTTTTCCCCATTGCTTTTCAGAGAGAGTGGAAGGAGAGGGAGAGAGGGAGGGAGAGAAACATCCATGTGAGAGAGACACATCTACTGATTGCTTCCTGCGCACACCCCAACCAGGACAGAGAGCGAACCTGCAACCCAGGTACGTGCCCTTGATCCGGAATCAAACCTGAGACCCTTTGGTGCTAGGGCCAATGCTCTAACCACGAGAAACACTGGCCAGGGCTCAGCTAAGTTTTAAACTAGTTCATAACCCTGGTTCTATTCTGCAAAAGACTCTAGCAGGCTGTCTGATTGAACTTTCTGTGATGGGGAAATGTTCCATATCTGTGCTGTCCAATAGGGTAGCCATTAGTCACATACAGCTAATGGCTATTGAGTACTTGAACTGTGGCTAGTGGACTGAATTTTAAATTTGATTTATTTAAGTTCATTTAAAATTAAATAGACACATGGCTCATTGGACAACATAGATCTTAATCTTAAACCTCCTTTTAATTATGTGGAATAACTTTAGGTTTACTCAGCAATGCAAGTTCCTTCTCACCAATTCTGGAATATTGTTCATTTCCTTTAAGATAAGGATCTATACTGAAAAAATTGGATTTTAATTTTTTTGAATAGCTAATACATTCACGTTGTTTAGAATATTTAAAAAAATATTAAAAAGTAGACAGCAAGAATTCTGTACCTCTCTATTCCCCAGGTACTCCTAGGTGTGACCCATGTTATCAGTTTCTTATGCATATGTAAGTATTGATAGTAGGCCTTCATTGTGAGCAGGGTTTTTCCTCTCAACTTCTTTTTGGGATCCCTTCATATCAGCACATCAACAGTCTCCTTATGTCTTGAGAATCTATTTAAAGGCTACCTGAAGGTGGCCTGTCTGCCCTCTTGACAACTGATGAGATAGCTTGCATTTGAAGGTAAGAACAGCAGCAGGTAGAACCTACCGATACAGCTCCTCCTCATGCACCCCACCCGTGTGGCGGATGCCCAGATTTAAAAATGCCCAGTTCTTTTCTTTTAAACTTATATTTTGAACTAAATCATGCTAAGCTTTGTGAAGTGACCCAAGATATTATATTATGGTAACACCGATTTTTTTTAAGTATAATTATAATCTCAATAATATGTAAGCCCACTTAGCCCCATTTCAACATAGAATAAAATCCAAACTTCTCACCAAGGCCTGCCAGGCTTGGCATGATCTGGCTCCAGACTTCTCTGTAATCACTAGGCTCCAACCACATAGGCCTCTTATCACAGCCAGCCCTTTCCTGCCGCAGGGCGTATGCCCTCACTCCTCTCAGACTGGCCTGCTTTCTCCTGGGCTTTCTGTGGCTCTTCATCCTCCAACCTCAGCTTAAATGTCATCTCGTTCTTGACATCTTTCCTGAATGTGCCATCCCTAGTGCGCCCTCACCCCAGCCCATACTACTACTATCTTCATAGCATTTATTATGATCCGTAGTCATTTTGTTTACATATATGTTACCCACCATTGGAATGGAAGATCCCTGACAAAAAGGACTTAAACTATCTTTACCAGGACCTAAAACAGTGTTTACCCTTTCAAAAGTCCCTCATAATTCAATAAACATAGTAAATTACTCTAAAAGAAATACTGTTTTTATATGACATTTTAAAAAACGTTATTAACATCTATCTGAAGTCCTTTTTACTTCTATAAGTAAGTAAGGGACATTCAGTGTGTGAGAATCACTAAAGCGATTTGCATTGGCTCTGAAATGCCAGCTATGAAGTGATGCTGCTTATGCCACAGTGGTATGTGCTCTCCATCTTATAATCTTTTTGAATCACTAAGGCAACATGTGTTGGTCATTGTGTCAACATTTATTAGCCAAGTGCTTACCTTGTCATTACTGAACAATATACACATTATATGATGCTTTAAAGTTTGTAAAAAGTTTTTATTTCTGTCAATTTCTTTGATCTTCAAAACTCCCTCTCTACCCTGTAAGGCATCTTATGGCCATTTTACTGGTGAGGTTACTGGAACTCAGGAAAGATTAAATTTTGCTTATAAAAATATAACTGGCAAGAGATAGAGTTAGTAAGGGAACTCAGCTCTTCCATGTCAAACTCCTAAGTCCAAATCCTTGGCTTTTCAGCCACACCACTGCTATTCCAACACAGTATTTGAATAAAAACTTGGTAGTTTACAAAGTACTTCTACATAAACTATTTCTTTTGATACTCTTTATCACCCTTGTGGTTGACAAGGCTGTTAAAATTCCTCCCCTGAAGAATTTCCATAGTCTCTTTAAGGAAATAATACATATCCAAAACTGAAGACATTGTTACAGAGTAATATAAACACGTGGAAATTAATTATGGAAATGTATACAGATGCTAAAGAGACTGTGTATTGTAGATAGCATTGCATGTAGCCAAAGGAGATCTATTAGAAAGCCTGGGAATAGGATTTGCAAGGAGAGGAGGAAACCAGACTCAAGGGGTCAGAAACCACGGATCCTGCCTTCCATATACAGGCAACGGGCTATGCAAAAATATAGGTGCATGTGAGCACGGTGTCCCGTGGAGAACATGGCCAGCAAATCGGCTTGATAACATAGAGGGGCCTCAAGAAATATTTTAAAGCCGAGGATGCTGAGATGAGCATTTCTAGTTCGCAGAAGACCTTAGACGTCAAGGGGAGTTGGATTTTATTTTACAGACATTGGGGAGTTGTTTCACACTTATGCAAACAAAGAGATGAAAGCAAAGTCTGATGTAGCCATATGTAGAATGAATCACAGCAGGGGAGACTGACCAAAGGCTAGCGCAGTCATCCTGGTGTAAGGTGACATAATCATCAACTGTGGTGACTGAGGGAAGTGGGCTTTTCAGAGAAAGGCTCCTCAGCACTGGGTGATGGATTTAGGATAGGGGAGAAAGGAAAGAGGGTACAACGACCAGGTTTCCAGCCCGTTGAACTGGGCTGATTGTGGTGCAATAAACATGTTAATTCTGAAGGGAAGCATTTTGGCCGAGGCCTAGAGTAGAGAGGTGGGGATAAAGAAGTGATGAACTAAGTTTTTGAAATGCAAAGTTGAAGGTGGTGCAAGGATGGTTAGTTGAAGGCCTGTAGACAACAGGAGAAATAAGTCTGGAAAGAAGGTGAAAAGTCAGAGTTTATGTTGTGTCATTTTTTTTAAACTCTCTTTCCCAAACTGCACATTCACTGCCTACTCACATAGCCTCAAATGCTCTTTTGTTGGCAGTTCACTATTGAGAAGAATTCACATTTATAGATTTGATATTTCCTTGTGAACTTTCTCTGTGGTAGTATAAAAAAAAATTATCTTTAAAATGTATTAAGACTTTTTACCCAGAAATGATTATTTAGAAGCTACTTTGGTTTTTAAAAATTAATATTCATTACTTTCAAAATTTGTGCTTAAGCTTTTATATTAAATATATCCATTTTAAAATTCCATTTATAAATCTAGCAAATGAATGTCTATCCTCCTGGTTCGTCATTTTAAACTGTATTTATTAATTTAATAATTTGAATACCTTTTTAAACATCAATTTCCTGTTTAACAAACCCTTCCAAATTCTTAAAGAATTCTCCTAAAACAATAAATTAGACAAATACCTGTGGCAAGTGGCTGGGCCCTTCCATGCTTTTTGAAATGCAGACAGCTTGACTTGCTGAAGATGCTGGACACCTGTGTCAAGGACAAATCCCATTAATGTGACCTTATTCTCTAGACTGCCTGCCCGTCAGGAGGTTGATCTTGGACTTGGCACCATACAATGAGTTGCTTATCTTCAAAGTGATCAATTTGATTAGTATTCTATATTCCTAAATCTCTGACAGTTGTGCATCAGGGTGCTTTAAGATAGCTGAATCCTATGGCAGCTTTCCGCCTCCTGCTACTAGTGAGTGTTTTTGCTTGTTAGAAGGACCTGCTAGCTACAGGCAGACTCCCACCATCCACCAACGAGCTCATTGTCAACCCATAGCCGAGTGCTGACTGCAAAGGGACCCCAGGTTTGTTTGTTTATTGTTGTTTTTTGGGACCCCAGATTTTTGCATATCTTGTGAGATCACTATGGGAACGCAGTCATTATGATACAGCGGTTCTTGTCTTAAGTACTTTTGATAGTTTTATTTGTTTATGGCTTCATTTTCTATTGATATGACAGAGACTCTTGATAACCAAAAATAAATATATCCACAAATGTCAGGTTCCCTGTTTCACATGTGAGCATGACTTCGTACTCTAAACCAGCGGTTCTCAACCTGTGGGTCGCGACCCCTTTGGGGGTCGAACGACCCTTTCACAGGGGTCGCCTAAGACCATCGGAAAACACATATATAATTACATATTGTTTTTGTGATTAATCACTATGCTTTAATTATGTTCAATTTGTAACAATGAAATTGGGGGTCACCACAACATGAGGAACTGTATTAAAGGGTCGTGGCATTAGGAAGGTTGAGAATCACTGCTCTAAACTGAATAAACCCAAATCTGTTATGAAGGTGTGTACTCTCGAAACAGGTGAGTCAGGCAGGACTCCATCAACTCTGGCGCATTGGATGACCTTGAGAATTTAGTGACTTCCTATGACATAGAACAAACCAGGTTAGTAACTGCCAGCAGAAAGAGATGTAAATACTACTACTGATTCTAAAATACATACTGAGTAGGTCACACTTCACTTTCTGCCGCTACCATCGAAGTCCAAGCCATCACAACACTATCACTAACCTGGACTATTAACAAGTCTACCTGCTTTCATTCTGACCACCTCCATTCATTTTTCACACGGAAGCTGGATTCATCTTGTATCCAGTCACGCTGCTTTTCTGTTTCTCTCACACAGGGCCACCACGTGCAGGTGGGCACAGCTTCACTCCAGGAAGGGCATTCGGCAGGCTTCAAGGGGAATGATGACACCGGGATTGTGCAACATGGCAGCCCAGCTCTCACACGCCAAGCCCGTTCCCAGGGCAGAGCTTGGCACTGCCAATCCTCTGCCTGGTACATCCATCTGTACGCTCTGTGCTGGCTCCTCCTCGTCATCCACGGGAGCACCGCTGTGATTCACAAAGCACTGCTCTGTGCCAGGAGGAACTGACTACCTCATTTGTAGACCCCAGGTAAAATGAAAACCAGGACCTCTTATTCAAAAAGTAGTAAGAATTTCAAGATGGTAACAGCAGAGTTAATCTAAGCACTGGCCCTTCTTAGTGTGGGGTCACCTGTCTGACCACACAGATACCCCCAGGAACTTGGCCCTGACCTCAGACTCTGCTTAAATATCACTTTCCCAACTACCCAGACCAGTGTGTGAAGGCAAGCTAAGGACTCACATTTCTTTCCAGGTAAAATTAGGGCATTTGACATGACAGATGAAACAAGGATTTTTGGTTCCACTAGCACTGTGTTTTTAAGGCTGAACATCCAGGCAGCATAACAGGTTTTGTGTTTCCTTTAAATGAGGTCTTAGATAGATTCTCATTTTTCAATAAATTGGCCTGAAGGCAGTGACAGGCCTAGTAAGCTGAGAACTTTGGTATGCAAAGATCAAAAAAGACCCATTACAGTATTATCAATTTGAAAAGAATACTATGTTTGGATTTTTTTAAAAATAAAAATAATTTTATTTTTATGGAGCTAAGAATTTTATATGTAACTAGAGGCCCGGGGCACGAAATTTGTGCACAGGAGGTGGGGGTGAGGGGAGGCATCCCTCAGCCTGGCCTGCCCCCTCTCACAGTCCAGGACCCCTTGAGGGATGTCCACCTGCTGGCATAGGCCCGCTTCCCGTTGGAGCTAAGGATTTTATATGTAATAATGAACTCAATTGTATTTTAAAGTTTAGTAGAAATTGCAGTTACTAATTAGCTAGCTTATATTTCCCTCTGCCTATGGAAGCTCAAGTTTTTGCTTTGATGAACTAAAACAAAATTATTTGAGGATAATTTCATCCTTGAAAAGTCAAAGTTTTGTTGTGTTGTAATACTGTGCAGTTTTTTTTTTTAATACAGTTGGTTCAAAATATATTTATTGCTTTCATTCATAAGGCATTTATAAACATTGGATTATAAAGTTCTACATAAGGTATTTGTCTCAGAAAGCAGAGATGCATAACATAGCTTCTTTAAATATAAGATCTCACCTTGTATCGGTTTCTCTCACACTCCCAGGAATCCAATATTCTCATTCTAAATAACAGGGGTAGCAAAAAGTTCAAGAATCTGCAAGAGGCAGATAAGGCAAGAACATTTCATGTCTAGAGTGATGGCCATTCCTGCCACCATCCTCTGGCTAGGCAGCACTATCTGGGGGCTTCAGATATGGGTTCTGTAGTGGACTACCCTTGGGTTACTGCCAGGAGCAAAGAGGTTGTAAAAATGCAACTTTCTAAAAGCACTTGTAACCAAGGGAGAAAACAAGTTTCTGCCCCAATTTTTGCTCATTTTGTAAACAATCCTTGGAAGGAAGGAAACAGAACTAAGAATGATATGAGTTTACACTAGTGTAATGTAAAGATTGAAAGCAACACTAAACAGGCATAAGTATCTCACTGAAGGAGTCTAGTCCTAGACTAAATTATGAAAAAAGCAACCTCGACTTTCTCCGTCCTGTCCCACTTGCTCTCAGAAAGCTAGCGGATAAACTTTTTACAGTACTGAACTAAGGTATAAGTGATTAAAGGGATTAAGGAATTATCTTCTACAGGAGTATTTGCTTTAGAGCAGGGGAAAATGTCTCTTTCCAAAGAGCGGAAAGTTTTAGTGGTAGAATTTCAGCCTAAAAGTCACCCACAGACAAACTATTCTCTCTCACTCTCTCTTTCTCTCTCTCTCTCTCTCTCTCTCTCTCTCTCCCTCCCTCCCTCCCTCAACCCCCCCCCCTCTCTCTCCTTTCTGTTTTGGAATACTGGAATACTTACAGAAAAGTTGCAAAGATAAACAGGTGCTCCCATACATCTCTTACCTGTTTATTCCTAATGTTAACATTTTATGTTACTATGGCATATTGGTGAAGACCAAGAAACTAACATTGGTGAACACCCTCCCTCCCTCAACCCCTCCCCCTCTCTCTCCTTTCTGTTTTGGAATACCTTTAGATTTACAGAAAAGTTGCAAAGATAAACAGGTGCTCCCATACATCTCTTACCTGTTTATTCCTAATGTTAACATTTTATGTTACTATGGCATATTGGTGAAGACCAAGAAACTAACATTGGTGAACACCAGACTTAATTCAGGTTTTACCAATTTCCCCACTACTGTGCTTTTTCTGTTTGATCCAGCCCAGGACACCACATTGCATTTAGCCCTTTCTCTTTTCCACCCAACTAATCGGGCTTTCATCCCGAGGGCGCCATAAAAACAGCTCCCACCAGTCATCAGTGGCCATTACGTTGCCAAAGCCAGCCTGTCACTGGCTCCTTCTGAGAACCCTCTTCGAAGCTGAGACACCCCTTCCTCCCAGCTCCTCCCCCTCAACGGGTCTCTCTTGATAGTTCTTCCCATTCTTCCCTACTGCTGAGCAGTGGAGAGACTGAGGCCCAGTCCTATCCACACTCCCCCCCCACCCCCCATGTGCTCATTGAGTCACATGGTGAAAAAGTTACCAGTGATGACTCTGGATTTATGTCTCACCCCGATTCCTCTGCAGAACCTGGGACTGATAAATCTAAAGCTGCCTGTTCAACATTTCACTTGGTTTCCTACAGGAGTCTCACACTCCATACTTCCCACACTGAACTCTTGTGCCCTTAAACCTGCTCCTCCTCAGGTTTTCTCCATCTCAGAAAATCGCAGCTTCATTCCACCAATCGCTCAGGCCAAAAATCTTAGACCCTCCCTCGACTCCTCTCTTTCTTTTATACTCCACATTCAATCGGTCAGCAGATCCAACCAGCTCTACTTGTGGAGCTATCCTGAGTCTAACCACTTTTCACTGTTTCCACGGCCATAATCCTGGTTTAAGTCACTATCTTTCAACCTGGATGACTGCAATGGCCTTCAAACTCTTCATCCTGCTTCTGCCCATATGCTGCCCCTACCTCCCCACCACCCAGTTTAGTCTCAACACAGGGATACTTTTAAAATGCAAGTCTGATCATGTTACTCAAAACCCTCCAGTGGCTTCCATTCTCAAAGTACATAGAATCCAAAGTACATAGAATTACTAGGCCTGCAAGGTACTACATGACCTGCCACTCCCCCAACTCTATCCTAATTTCTCACCACACTTTCACTGACCCACTCCAGCCACATTCGCCTTCTTCCTCTTACTTGGACTTACCAAGCACGTTTGGCCTCAAGGCCTTGCACCTGCTATTGCCTCAGCTTGGAACGCCTTGTCCCTAGATATCTTCCTGCTTTGCAGGGAAGAGAGACAAGGTAGGTTGAGCAAGGGAGGGTGACCAATTCCTTCATGTTTTCTGGGGACTGTCCTTACCTAACCGGTTTGGCTCAGTGGATAGAGCGTCAGCCTGTGGACTCAAGGGTCCGGGCTCGATTCTGGTCAAGGGCATGTGCCTTGGTTGCGGGCACATCCCCGGTGGGAGGTGTGCGGGAGGCAGCTCATCGATGTTTCTCTCTCATCGATGTTTCTGACTCTCTATCCCTCTCCCTTCCTCTCTGTAAAAAATCAATAAAATATATTTAAAAAAACACAAAAAATGAAAAACTAAAAAGCCCTCTATTCCAGGAATCCCTTGAGTTCCTAGCAAATCAGGACACTTGATACCTAGCAGGGGTAGGTGAGTGTAAGGGTGCTGCAAACATTTAACATGGAGGTCAGAGCAGGCCTCGTGGACAAGGAGACATTTGAGGAAAGGCTTGTCGGAGGTGAGGGGTTGAGTTTGCCATTCCTTGTTGCTGTCTGATTCCTGGGCGCCTGTCTACAGAACCCAATGATACAGACACAGGAAACCCCAGTGGTTATCAAAAGCACACTTACCCCTGGCTGGGGCGGCTCATGTGGTTAGAGCATTGTCCTGTGCACTAATCGATGCATCTCTCTCTCTAACTGATGCTTTTCTCTCTCTCTCTCCCTCTCTCTCTCCTTTATATATACTTTATATAAAGAATAAAGTATTTATGCTTTAAATGCTGTTTTTCATAATTGAGCTCTACAAAGAATAGTGGCCAAGGAAGCTTTGGAGCCTTGCACATTTGGAGTCTTGGCTCTGCTGTGTGACTTGAACAAGTTATTTAATTTCTCAAAGCCTGTTTTGTCTCATTTGTAAAATGAAGATTATAAAAATCTTAAGGGTCATGTGAAGATTAAAGGAGTTATTTTATATAGATATGTTTTGAACCACTCTGGTACATAGCCAACACTCAGTTATGATCTATTATTGTTCTTTTCTCACCAGATTTTGGGTGGGCCATCGATATTATTTAACCTAAGTGCTGTTATGGGCAGGACACAGGGCAAACAAGACCTGTGGAAAGGGAGTTCAAGAGAAGAAGGCTATAAAAAGGTGGCCATTAAGCATAAGAGTTAATTTAGGTATTTGCTTCTAAATGATTTTTATTTTGAGATCATTGTAAGTTATATGCAATAATATAGAGATCACATATCCCTTTACCCAGTTTCCCTCAGTGGTAACATCTTGCATTCTATCACAGCCAGGAAAATGATACTGACACAACCCATAGTTGGCACTTAGTATTTTCTTACAGAAACTAAGACTGTCCTCTTAATGGGATTGAATGATTGGTGCTTCCACGCTGGGAGGGTAGGAGGGACAAAGTGTAGGCCAAAAGTCCTTACCACCTTAATGCTGGGCTATGGCAGGGAGTGCCTCACCTGCTCTCTCTACTCCAACCTGCGGTAAAACACAAACAGTGCTTCTGTAGCCCTTAGCAGTGTTCTGTTTTGCCTTGAGCATAATCAAAGCTACCACTTTCCGAATGGTTACTATGAGCTCAGGCTCTGTGCTAAATATTTTTCACGCATTATCTCAATCTTTACAACTGCCCTATGGGGTAGGTGATAATATTGTCCCCATTTCATAGATGAGGACTATAAGGCTAAGCAACTTGCCCAGGTCGTATATCTAGGAAGTAGGGGATCTGGGATTAGGACACAGGACCACCTGATCCCAAGGCTGTTCTTATCCACCCACGTGTCCCCCTCACACTCACGGCCCGGTGTAGCGGAAAGGGACTGGATTACCTGTGGCCCATGACACGTGTTTTCTTTCCTTCCTCAGTAAGTTCACAATTGAGTTGAAGAAGCAGAATATAAACTTGTAACTGATCGTTTAAGGTAGTTTATAAAAAACAGCCATCCAGGGTGACCTGGAACCTAGAGGGCAGGGCAGTTGGGAGAGGCTTTCTGTGGGAGGTAGATGGGATCTTGAATGTAGGGCTGGACTTACACATATGAAAAGTCCATGTCTGGCAGAGCCCACACTGTTAATGACACTCATGTCTGGTTTCACCCTGCCTTCCCATGTCTCCTCCCTCCCCTTCAACTAAACACATCAGTGGCAGACTTCCTTCAGAATACATAACAATCCTCATAGCTAACATGTATAGAGTGCTTGCATTGTGCCAGTCACTGTTCTAAGTGCTTTACACATGGCAACTCATTTAATCCTCACGACAACCTATAGCATAGGTACTAT